CGACGCCTGCACCTCCGGCTTCCTTAGGCAACTTCTTCCCGGCCTTTGGTTTCTTCTCCGCCGGAGCTTTCTCGGCCTTTGATTTCTCCTCAACTGGTTTCTTCTCCGCCGGCTTCTTCTCTGCTTTCGGAGCCATTGTTACAGAAGATAAACTCTTTTGACTTTTTTCCTGAATTAGGAAGAGAGAATTTCTGAAAGGCTTGAAGAAATTGCTATCTGAATTGATGCTCGCGAGTTTTGATTTTATATATATCAGAGATTCGATATGATTGGATATTAGAAAGCGGCGAGGATCGATAAGTTGGAAGATCTTAGCCGTTGGTATAATATTTTAATCGACGGTATATAATAGATACTAGCAACGAGGTAAGCTTAATGTATCCATTAAGTGTAGGGATCGCTGACGTGTCAAACTTTCGGAGTCGGTTTAAGCGCGGCGTTGAATTATCCACTCCCGCCCAAACAGGTTTTAATGGGCTTTTATTAGGCCCATTTTTTAAAACCTGACTAGATCCAAGTTAACCCGGTCTAAGGCGGTTGTGTTTCGGTTCGGGTGATTTTGATGCACCTTCATATCATACATTGAGGTTTTGATTGTCTCCTTTGAGTTGTTTATGAGAAATGTAGGTTTAGTTAAAAGATTTTATCTATTGATTCAGCAGATCAAGAAGTAAAAGAGAAAATCAGTATTTTTGATTCAAGTGTCATCTCTGAGCACTCTTAGAGTAGTCAAACCAAAAGACATTTTGGTCCCGAAGTGTCACCTACGTTTTCACATGAATAATATTTTAAGCCTGTACGAGTAGATTGAGATCTCTTAAGCGAGGCAGAGGATTTTGCTCAAACTGAATGTAAATACAATAGTATAGCAATAACACCAATCTGATATAAGTATTGTACATAATGGTAAACTGAAACAGAGATTAAAAGGCACAATCTCATAGTTGATAGATGAGACACATCAAGACGATAATACCGAATAAAATGAAGGTGTTAAGGTTCGATAACCGTCAGAGGAATCTGTTAAGAGAAACATATCACTCCAGAAACAGTATCATATATGATAGAAACAAACTTATTCAACTCCCTCACAGGGGTTTTTATCTTTCTCTTATTAGGTGGTGCGGCTTTTGAAAACATCAAGACCCATTTCGGTTGGATCGGTTGCTTGAAGCTCCACTTGAATCCCATCAAGTTCTCGCTTGAACCTGTCCTTGGAGCTCGCGTAAATCATCTTCATTCTCACTTTGGCCGTGTCCGGCGACCTTGGTACAAAACACAAAACACAAACCCTTTATGAATTTGAAGGAACATGAGTTTACGGAAGCAGAGGCTAGTAATCGTATTACCATGCGATGAAGAAAATCTTGCTCTTCTGGCAGTTCTCCTCAGTGACAAAGTCGAAATCATAAATGGCGTATCGGCATTCATCAGCAGGAAGACTTGCAGCAAAGTCATCATATGACTGGTCAGGTTCACCAAGCTTCTCTACAATCACTTGCTTGTCCTCAATCTTGTAAACTATGAAACGGAATGTCCGTTTCGCCTTGAGTTCCAAAAACTTTAGCTTGCAATCATCATGCACAGCCATTCCCGATGCCGCGTTAGCCTAGTATTATATC